GAGAAAGGGGGGAGAAGGAACATTTGAAAAAGCAACATATATAATAAATAAAGAGCGTTTTATAATATCTCATAAAAAAATAAAAAATAAATAACGTATATATATTGCACTTATAAATGTAAAAATAGTCCCTAAATGTAATTGCACATGTCAAAATCATTGTTAACCTCTTAAGGACACGTGACATGTGTGACATGTCATGATTCCCTTTTATTCTAGAAATTTGGTCCTTAAGGGGTTAAGACAATATGGAGAGAGGGTTTCTAGGTTGAAGATCCATTCCATTTCTGATTTATTTAAGATCTTCAAAAAGTCTCCCCCTCTCTATGGTTTGGCTACTTTTTGTATACCAATAAAATGCAACATTTTAAAATCACAGTTATGGATTTTACTAAAATGAGCAGATACTGAATGTGTCATAACTTTGTTTTCGATATTCTGCAAATGTTCACTCACTCTTACTTTTACCGGTCTATTGGTCCTCCCAACATATTGGAGGCCACATTTGCAGGTTATCCCCTTAATGACACAGCTTCAGAAGCTGGACATACCCTTAAGGACACAAGCAATTTTTGCATTTTTGGCTGTTTGTGTTCATCTGCAATTTTCATCTCTCTCATTTATTGTACCAACGTATTATGTACTGTTTTTTAGACAACAAAAATGGCTTTAATTTGATGTGACATATACATATATACATTTTCATTTATAAAAAAAAAAAAAAATGGAGGAAAAAGGAGAAGTTGGTATGTTTGTCTTGGACGTTTAATACACATTACAGAAAACAAAATTGCCACACAAAAGTATATATTTTTATAAAGTAGACATCACAGGCTATTTACCTAAGGTTATTTTGACACTTTTTACCTAGCTATTTCACCGCCAATTTCTGCTAAATATTGGAGTAAAATTGTGTTTTTTACTCTATTTTGGCTTTTTGTAATGTGTATTTCGTAAAGCTAGTGTGTGCTATCCCTGTACAGAACCCCATATTGTGTTCAGCTACATCTGCTGAGTACAACGATACCCCCATTGTATGCCTTTGCCCCTATTCTTTCAAGCTACAATGCCATATAGGAGATCTTGCTATTTCAGTTTCTATAGTGGAATTTTCATAGATGGTCATATGTCTGATTTTGTGACATTATAGCCATTTGACTGTTCAAATAATCCCACAAAGGCCTTCCATTTGAGAAAGCAGACACTCCAGGGTATCTTATTAGGCATATATTATACCTTAACTTGCCACCATTTTTTCACCAATTTATTTCAAATTTTGTGGTGAGAAACAATTTTTTTATTTTTTTACATACATGTTGCATTTTTGCTGGGTATTTCGTACGTTTGATAAGTGCCGCTGTCATAAATTCCCACTAAGTATGCCCAGTTACCTCTTCTGAGTAACACAATAAGCCCAATGTATGACCTAGACACTATTTTGGGAAGTTACAGTGCTGTAAAAGAGACATGACAAGTTCAGGTTTTAAAGTGTGAATTTACATGGAGGGTTTTAATGGGTCCATATTCTATTTTGAAATATGTTAGCAGGCTGCTTTTTCCAACTACCCCAAAAAGGCATTCTATTTATTAAAGAAGACACCTAAGGGTATTTCAAAAGGCAAATTTTGAACCTTAGCATGGGATCATTTTTCCGCTAGCTTGTATCAAATGTAGTGGTAATAAACATTTTTTTCTGCCTTTTTGACACACACAGTGAGTTTGTACTGTATATTTTGCAAACCTTATGTGTGCCACGGCTTGATAATAATTCATATGTTGCTCAGCTATGTTGTCTGAGTACAGAAATACCCCTATATGTACCTTTGCCAGGTATATGTGGACATTGAAGGGGCACATTTGAGACACAGCCATTTAAGTTTATTCAAACTTTACATTTTTATGATGTGTCGATACCCCACTTTGGAGTTTTTTTTAGTAGGTTAATTATTCCAACTATCCCATAAAGGCATACCATTTCTTAAAGAAGACACCCTAGGGTATTTCAAAAGACATATTTTGAACCTTAGCGTGAAATAATTTTTCCGCTAGCTTATACCAAGTGTAGTGGTAATAAGCATTTTATATGCCTTTTTGACACACATGAGTTTGTAATATATAGTTTGCAAACCGTATGTGTGCTACAGCAGTATAATACATCATATGTTGCTCAGCTATGTCTTCTGAGTACAGCAATAACCCCATATGTACCTTTACCAGGTATATGACAATGTTGAAGGGGCACATTTGGGACACAGCCATTTAAGTTTGAATTTTTACGCTGGGTCCATGCCCCATGTTGGAATTTTTTTAATAGGTTGCGTTTTCCAATTACTTCACAAAGGCATACAATTTCCTAAAGAAGACACCCCAGGGTGTTTCAAAAGACATATTGTAAACCTTAGCGTGGTAACATTTTTAATAAAAAAACTATTTTTTGTAACATTAGATGAGAATTTTTCTGTCTTTTTAGCGATGACATTCGTAGTTTTGCATGCCTTGCACTGTCTGCAGTTGTAAAAACCTTTCAATTTCATACCAGACATATTTGCATCAACCATTTCTTTCTTGGGGATACAACGTTTTTGTTAAAATGTTTTTTACATTTCTCGCTCCCGTATAACCATTTTTGGTTGTTCTCCTATATATGTATTAATATCTTCATTTTGTCTTGAGATATGCCAATGTTTATTTAAATATTTTTTAAAATATTAAATATATTAAAATTGCTAATAAAAGTAACTTGCTCGTTTTGTGTATTTCTTTTTTTGGATACCAAGAGGTCTTCCCTTGGTTTATCTTTCACTTCTTTAAATTTCTTTTCCACTTCACTTCGGTTATATCCTTTTTGATAAAATTGTTCTTTTAAAACTTGAGATTGTTCTAAAAATAGTTCTTCTTTATTACAATTTCTTTTTACCGTGTAAACTGTTCATTGGGTATATTTGCAAGCCAAAGGAAAAATGGCAACTTTTAGTGTCTATATAGCTATTAATATTAATTTTTTTAAAAAGGTACAGGTTTGAATAATATTAGACTTTATAAAAATCCTTAAATCTAAAAAAATGACTTTCTGGGTACTCATTTCACAGGTGAGTTTTATTTCTAAAGGGAGTTAAAATTTAAAAGATAAATAATGAGTCTAATGAAGCATGGTCTCCTATCCAAATAAAACATATATTGTCAGTAAGTCTCTAATAGAGGGCCAAGTTTGGTATCCAGTCATGCCCAGAGAAAACATACAATATTTCCCAATAAGACATAAATAAATTGGCATAATTTGGTGCGAACTTGGTCCCCATAGCCGTGCCCCTCTTCTGCAAATAAAATTCTCCTTCAAACCAAAAAAAGTTATTAAGCATCAAAGAAATACTCTTTAGTATAAAATCAGTCTGTTCTGTCTTAAAATTACCAAACTTTGCTTAAAAGAACTTTACAGCCTCACATCCTTTTTGATGTTTAATTATGGTGTAGAGACTACTCACATCACAAGTGACTAGCCAGTAGTCTCTACACCATTTAAAATTCTCTAAGATTTGTAGAAAATTCATAGTGTCCTTAAGATATGCTGTTCTATTTACTACAATAGGCTACAACAAGGTGTCAATATATTGTGACAGGGGGTATAATAAAGAATCCACCAACGCCACAATTGGCCTCCCTGGTGCGTTTTGCAAATCCTTGTGTAGTTTGGTTAAAATGTAGATCACGGGGATAATACAATTATTATTACTTAAAAACCTATGTTCATTTTTATTTAAAATGCCCATCTGAAATCCATCATCTAAAAGTTTGACAAGATCTCTTTTAATGTCTAATTCTGGAGTTTCATTTAGTTTGCAATATGTGTGGGAATCTGATAGTTGTTTAAAAATGTTATCCATATAAAAAGTATTTTCCATAATAACCACTACTTCCCCCTTGTCTGCCAGTTTTATGACTATAATTTGATCTTCCTTTAAATCTTTTAAAGCATTTTTCTCCCCCAGCATTAAATGTTGGAATTTAATGGATTTCAGATGGGCATACCCCCTGTCACAATATATTAACACCTTGTTGTAACCTATTGTAGTAACTAGTACAGCATATCTTAAGGACACTATAAATTTGCTACAAATCTTAGAGAATTTTGAGTGGTGTAGAGACTACTGGCTAGTCACTTGCGATGTGAGTAGTCTCTACCGCATAATTAAACATCAAAAAGGATGTGAGGCTATAAAGTTCTTTTTAGAAAAGTCTGGCAATTTTAAGACAGAACAGACTGATTTTATACTAAAGAGTATTTCTTTGAATCTTAAGAAGAATTTTTTGTTTGAATGAGACATTTTTTGCGCAAGAGGGGCATGGCAATGGAGACCAAGTTTGCACCAAGTTATGCCAATTTACTTATGTCTTATTGGGAAACATTGTTTGTTTTCTCTGGGCATGACTGGATAGCGAACTTGGTCCTCTATTAGAGATTTATTGACAATATATATTTTTTATTTGGAAAGGAGAACGTTCCTCTTTAGACTCATTTTTATCTTTTAAATTTTAACTCCTTGGGAAATGAGTATTATTCAAACCTGTACCTTTTTTTTTTTTCTTAAATGATATTAATAGCTATATAGACACTAAAAGTTGCCATTTTTTTCCCTTGGCTTGCAAATATTACCAAGGGACAATTTACACAGTTTAAAAGAAATTGTAATAAAGAATAACTATTTTTAGAACAATCTCAAGTTTTAAAAGAACTTTAAAAGAATTTATAAAAAAGGATATAACCAAAGTGAAGTGGAAAAGCAATTTAAAAAAGTGAAAGATAAACCAAGGGAAGACTTGTTGGTATACAAAAAAAGAAAAAATAAATACACAAAACAAACAAGTTACTTTTCTTAGCAATTTTAATTCTCAATGTCATATTTAAAAAAATAAAACAAACATCGGCATATCTTAAGACAAAATGAAGATATAAATACATATATAGGAGAAAAAACAAACATGGTTTAACAAAAGTTGTATCCCTAAGAAAGAAATGGTTGATGCAAATATGTTTGGTATGAAATTGAAAGGTTTTTACAACTGCAGACATTGCAAGGCATGCAAAACTACGGATGTCATCTCTAAAACGACAGAAAAATTCTCATCTAATGTTACAAAAAAAGTTTCTTATTAATAATTTTATTACTTGCAATACAAATAATGTCATATACCTTTTAACCTGCAAATGTGGCCTACAATATGTTAGGAGGACCACTAGACCACTAAAAGTAAGAGTGTGTAAACATTTGCGGAATATCCAAAACAAAGTTATGACACATTCAGTATCTGCTCATTTTAGTAAAATCCATAACTGTGATTTAAAAATGCTGCATTTTATTGGTATACAAAAAGTAGGCAAACCATGGGGAGGGGGAGACTTTTTGAAGATCTTAACTAAAACAGAAATGGAATGGATCTTCAGCCTTGGAAACCCTCTCTCCATATTGTCTTAACATTTTGACATGTGCAATTACATTTAGGGAATGTTTTAAAATTTAAATATGCAATATATATAGGTTATTCAATTTTTTATGAGATAATATAATATGCTCTTTATGCTCTTTATTTATTATATATATATATATATATATATATATATATATATATATATGTGTGTTGCTTTTTTAACTGTTCCTTTCCCCCCCTCCTCTCCTTTCTCTTTTTTTCTCTTTGATTATATGTATGATACATCCCCATGTATCATGGACTGAGGACTTTGTATTATTATATACATGGGATAGAGAATAGGGGAGAAGAGATAAGGGTGAGTGAAAAGGTAGTCCATAAGAACATTGATGCCAGTGAAGGAGACCCTTTTATGCAAAAAATCTGGACTGAATAGGAAGAATGCGACCGCGGCATAGCAAAACCGAAAGTGGAATGCAAGAACATTGTGGGTGGAACGCATAATGGCAGCACCGGAAGTGACGCCATACACCCTAGCGAGCACCAATATGGCGGCCACAAGTGGTGTACAAGGAGGGGAAAGCTCCCAATTGGATAATTATAACAAGGGGGTGTCCCTAATTTGACTTCTTGGAACCAAAACTGATTTATAAACCGTGAATACACAGGGAAGACTCTTGCACCTGAGGAAGACGCTGATTTAATGCGTTGTGCTATATCTGGACTGATGGAACAGTTAATCAGAGGCACTTTGTATGTAAGCTTTTAATCTTTTGTGCAATAAATATATTTAAAGTTAAGAGCTGGTGCCCTTCATCTATCTCCATTGTGAGGACCTGATACTCCTGAATGGGATCTACTCTATATACAAATATGTATTACCTGAGCCAGTTTTTTTTACAGGCTCATTAAAATGTGAGTTGATGACCTAATTAGTATATCTGTTTCAAACACTGAACATTACTATACTACCCTATAGAGTGTATTTTTTATTTAACTTTAAGAAACAAGTTGTGTGTTCTTTTTTTATTAGATATATATATATATATATATACTCATTAATATATACACCGGGTAGAGTGATTTTTGGGACCACTGTTTTTTACTTTTACACTGTTTTATACTTGTACATTTTTGCGCTGGACACTACTTTTTATTGCTTGGTTCTATTATACATTTGGTGGAATATTTAGTGATTGGTTCCACAGTGTTCACAGCTGCATGTGTTTTTAGCGCCTATTTTATTGCACAATTTTTGCATATTGCTTGTTTTACTATCAGCACAAAACCAGTGTGGCTTCATGGAATGTGATTCCATGGCCAAGCGGCTGCATACAAGCCTCACATGACCAAGTACAATGCCAAGCTTTGGATCAAATGGTGTAAAGCACGCTGCCATTGAGCTCTGGAGCAGTGGAAACGTGGGCTCTGGAGAGACGAATCGCACTTCTCTGTTTGTAAGTCTGATGGGTGAGTCTTAATTTGGAGGAATCTGGGAGAACGTGACGTGTCTGACTTCATTGTACCAACTGTAAGGTTTGCTGGAGGTAGGATAAGTGTATGAGGATGTTTTTCAAGGGTTGGGTAGTCTCCTTACATCCAGTGAAGGGAAATCTTAATGCGTCAGTATACCAAGACAGTTTCGACAATGCTATTCATCCAACTTTGTGGGAACAGTTTGGGGAAAGCCTTTTTCTATTCCAGTATGATTGTACCTCAGTGCACACTTGGTGTTGAAGAATTTGAATGGCCCGCACAGAGGCCTGACCTCTACCCTATCGAACATCTTTGGGATGAACTGGAATGAAGATTGTGAGCTACGCCTACTTGTCCAACATCACAAAACAACACAAATACTCTACTAGATGAAACTCCCACAAAAATACTCTAATGGAAAAATCTTATGGAAGGTCTTCCCAGAAGAGTGGAAGCTGTTATAGCTGCAAAGAAGGGATCAATTACATATTAATCTCTATGCATGTAAGTGCCTTTTTGTGCAATGGTCTGGTGTACCTATGCTTTTATCCATATAGTGTATACTCATTCACCTTACTTGAAATGTGCATTTATCATACCGGCTTTTTATGTATTTGATTCCTGAGCCTTTGCAATGATTCATTTCCTGGTTCTTGCGTGGAAAGTTATATTTAGACTTACTATCAACCTGCCCCCTTCAGAGCTCTGCCCTCTGGCTAGCCGAATCGTTTATAACAGATGAGAAGTGGATATTTTGAATAATCCGGTTCTCACATACTGTATATAAGTTGTAGTGGTAATAAATTATTGTTTGGTAGTGGATATACAATACATGACACAGGATATATCGCCTTAAAACTTGCTTTGGTGTAAATTTAGATTTCTTGGATTTCCATGGTAACACATCCTAAACAACAAGAGACAATAATTTACAGGTTGAGGTCAATCTCACTTTAAATCAGGCAGCAGGCTGGATCAGCAGTTTGGCACAAATTGGTGAGTTGTGCTTTATGTTGCTCTGTCTTTTATATATATATATATATATATATATATATATGTGCTTAATTGTATGTAACTTGTCCTGAAGAATGGTAGCTCAGTATAACCAAAAAGTGGATGATAAACAAGAAGTTATATCTGAATTTAAAAGTCCTTGGAGTGCCATTTGTTTGGAAGATGTGTGTATCTGTATATATATATATATATATATATATATATAGATAGATATATATACACACACACACACACCTTAATTTTGAAATCTTGATTTTAGTTGGACTTCAGTGACTGACTAACTGAGTATTTGTGAATGCAGATGTGTATTTATATGGAGTGAAAGGGTGTAGTAGTGCGTATGCAGTTGTTTGCTTGTGTTGCCTGTAATTTGCTCTGGAATTTTGCTTTTTGCAAATAAATAGTGCAAACTCCCCTAGACAATTAAATCGAACAAAAATTATATAAAGGAAAATGGTCACTCACATAGAAAGAGCTTCTTTGAAGCTCTAGTATATCAGCTTTGAGCGGAAATTATACTCAAAGCTAATATACTAAAGCTTCAAAAGAAGTTCCTTCTTTATGAGTGGCCATTTGTCTTTTCATTTTTTACTACATGCTTCCACTGAATTCTATACTATAGGTTTGTGTCTCTGTGTATTTGTGTCTTTTAAGTTCATCGTCCTTCCCAGTGCACCGAAGACTGCTACAGGCCCTTCACCCACGAAGAGAGAGAGAGAGAGCACACTGTTGCATGCTGTTTTTATGTAAACTTTTTGCAGCGCTCCTACAGATGGTGCTATACTAAATAATCCAAACTGAAGAACAGTACCCCAAGTTCTTCACTACAGACAGTTTACTTCTGCATTTTAGTTGTCTATACAGGGGAGTTTGCAATATTTATTTGTTTATTTTGGAACAACTTTTTTTTTTTATTTAAAGAAATCTTGTAACCTATTATTCTCCCTACTGGCTGCATTGGTGTCCAATAAATAAATAGTTAAAAGTTAATAAATGGGGATCCTCAAACCTCCTATTAACCAGGAAGGCTGAAAATGTTGTCCATTCTTTCCTTCACAGCATGACAGTGGTGGGAAGGTTAATAAATGGAACAGATATTCAAAATGTTTTTTGTTTGTTATGTAGGTCTCATGTTATGTTGGTTATGTCTTTTTATTACTGCACAGTTCCTTGTGAATTCTATGGGGTGCACTGAATGACATATAAGCTATGAAGCTTAACAGTTTAACAAAAAAGCTGTCACTGTTCAGAATCACTTTATCTACCTGAGTCACTCTGTCCCTCTCTGTCCATTCATCACCTTCCTCCGCCTGTGTTCCTCTGACCATCGTTACCTTATATCACTTGTGTCCCTGAACCCAAACCCTCTTCTCCTACTTGTGTCTCTGTCCATACCTACGTGTTTCCCTATCACCATAGCCCTCTCCACCTGAGTCACTCTGCTTATACCTCCTTCCTTCACGTTTGTCCTTTTCCCCATTACCCATGGCAACATGCAGTGCATATTAAAAAATATGTGCATATTTAAGATGTGTGTGTGTGTTTGTCTTGCTTTTTATGGAGAGTGAGCAGACGTGACTATTGTGAATTGCTTAATTTGAACTTGTGTTTTTCATATCATTCTACAAGCTAATTTAAATTAAATAAAAATACAGGTAAAGCAAATGCCGGTCCCACGTGTGAAAGATTTCATAACTTGATCTGCACCAATAAAACCTGCATTCTTATTTGTATATCAATTTTTTTTTTTAATTTAGCTATGCCACAGGAGGAAAAGAAAACAAACAAAAAAAAAACAGGGGGGAGATCCCATTCTCTATTGGTGTGCTCTTAAGTGGATTGACTTCAGGGTAAACCCACAAGGTTATTATCCGTATAATTTAAAATACAACTGTATGTATACCTTCAATATCACCAGTTAATTGGTATTTCTGTAATTTTTACCAGAATGCCTTAAAAAGTGTTATTAACAAAAACAATATTAGTTCTGTACCAACCAGTAACAAAGCGTAGATATTCAAGTGTAGTGTACATGCAATATGTTACTTTTTATCAAATCAAAATGCGTCATTAAAAAAAAAACAAAACATAATTTGAAAATTTAGTACAACCATACCAATATTTTAAAAAGGTGACAAAATTAAAACATATTCCTATTTTATTATCACTTTCAGAAAAAATCCCATATTTTTCATACATGATTCATAGAATTGCCCAGATATGTGCACAAAATTTTATTAAATAAATAAGTTAAAACTAAGAAATTTCAAGCTCTCAAGCATTTCTTTAAGGCAAATACAGTATACCAATTTATGTGTGATAAATTATCAGTAAAATCATTTAATGGTACCTGCTTATTCTAATCAAAGAGGGAAGCAAAATAACTGAAACAAATATTTTCCTTGAAAATAAAAAAAAAATAAAATTTTTCATACACTGTATCTTCTATTAACCAAAATGCAGACCCATGAGATATGAGATCCGTAAAATGAAATAAAGGCACGTGAAATTTAAAAAAATAAAACAAAAAAATTAAAAACAAAACAAAATTAAAATATAATATTGATGTATACCTTATACAATACTCTTCAGTTTACAGAATAGTTATTTGGCTAAATATATGCAGACATTCAAAATAAGTTATTTCTAAAATGAGTTGAGATGTTGAGAAAACTTAGTTAATGTCACAAAACATGATTAGTAAATAGGTTTTTAGCACGCCTATACTGCCATTTTACTAATCAAACAGAAAACCAAATGACATTTGACATGGCAAACAGTGATTGGCTAATTGTGCTTCAGACATGTTTTAGAATTGGTTATCCAAAATTTGATCCTCTAGACTGATTTATTAAACACAGCTATTCATTCATAAACCAGGGGCATCATTTCAGGAGTGGAGATGGTGTTTCCTTGACCCTGCAGTGGTGCATATGCTTGATATAGATTAAACGGCTTTGTTCAATTTTGGCCATTGAAAATATATACTTAACACACGCATATACATGTTTGTATGTGGGTGTCTATATTTGAAGAAACAGAAATATGATTAAATTGGATGCACCTCACTCATTCTGTCCTGAAAATATGTCCCTGTTGTATGTTTTATAGACATGGACACCATATGTACAATATACAGTATGTATGTACGTTCACATAACAAGGCTATCATTGAACATCCAAGAATACTTCTTTAGAACAGATATGGAGGCAGAACTTATTTCATAGTAAACAGTTCAAGTCCTTCACAATAGAGTTTACAGCATTTAGTACGGTTAAGACTGCAGTGACATTTTCCCCCAGGTGTAATAATTTTATTTTTTTTATAGCAAAATAATGTTCTTATTACAAAGAACAACCCAGACGTGATGTGTCAATTTTCTTTTTTTTTCTTTTTGTCACAACACTAATTCACCAAAAATATACAGAAATCAACATTCATATTATGTGAGTATTAAAATAACCATTTGAAATGAGTTAATATGTGTATCTCGCCACGATTAGCAGCAGTTCAAATCCAATGTTACTACTTTTCTTGTTACCTTACTAGCAGCTGTAACATTTTACTTATTTATTTTGTAAACATGAACCTTAGATCTAATTTGGACAAATGTGCCATCTATCTAGATTCAAAGTGCTTTAGAATCTTTGTTTGCATTATGTACCATTAAACAGTAATATGGCTAAATTGCCTAATCTTTTTTGACCCATCACATAAGTGGCACATTCTTTGTGGATCTGCCAGTATATATCATATATATATATACCATTCTAATTGTAGGGCTGTTGTTGTTGTTGTTCTCTGTATGCATGTGTGAGTGTGTGTTTGTAGTATGTTTATGTATGTATATATATATAGTTTTTAAAAATTTGTTGCCATCACTTAAACATGCATTTCCATGCAATTAGAAGATATGGGCTCATAGAACTGCCTTTCAATTTCTTCCTGATTCTTGCACTGTTGCAATCTAATTAAGGGCTTTCAACATAGTCCATGCAATGATATGTATGACTAAAGGAATTTTTAAGCCTATAAAAAAATAAATCCAAGTGTTATTTGTGTTTAACATGTGGAGGGCTAAGTGTTGCTGAACCATCCCTAGATCTATAAATGCTTTGAGATGATCTTGCTATTCCAGTCCTCAGAGTGTCAGATAACAAACTGGTGTCCTCCGTAGACTGGGACGCAACATCCCCAGTCTCCTGCTCTGTCTCCAGCTCTTCATCGGCTATAAACAGTTTAGATTCCCTCCACTCTGGATATACATCTTGGCTGTCTCTGGAGACACTTGAGTCACTGCATGAAAGCTGTGCATTAAGTTCTTCTGTGGATTGGATCAGGTTTTGCACAGAAATAGATTTTCCAAAATCCTTGTGTTTAAATGGGACTGAGGATAATACCCCACTATTTGCATCAAGGCTTTTCCTCCTTACAAAATTTTTAGTTAGACTGGGTTGTGCAGGCTGTAC